CTACAATGTATATAAAATAAAACTAAATATGTTATGCAAACAGAACTAGTTACGCGGAACGGATGCCATTTCTTTTCATTAATGGCCCGTTTGGTTCACGGAATAGGTCGGGAATGACATAGCATTTCCAGTAATAAGCATATTCCTTTGTTTGGTAACCATTTCTATTATCAGGAATAATATTCCTGGTAATAGCCTATTACCTCAAATAAGGTAATAGCTATTACTAGGCCCCCCCTGGTATTAGCCTATTACTGAACGCTCAGGAATAGATTTTAGAATCTATTTCCTTTTTTACCCCTTTTTTAACTTAATTTTTTTATCATATATATAAATTTATCCTATTTCACCACTGTCGTCGTCACCACCACCACCATCGCCGCCGCCCCCACCACCACCATCGCCACAACCGTCGCCGCCACCACCACTGCCACCGCCACAACCACTACCACCCCAGCACCACCACCGCCACCGCCACAATCACCGCCGCCGCCACCGCCAGCAGAACCACCACCCAGCAGCACCACTGCCACCACCACCACCGCCACAACTGTCTCCGCCCCCACCACTACCACTACCACAAACGTCACCGTCACCACCACCACCGTCGCCCCCACCACTGCCACCGCCACCACCACTACCGCCACCACCACCATCACCACCGCCACCGCCGCCACCACCACCACCACCACCATCGCCACCATCGTCACCATCACATATTTTTATAAGGGTATTTATGTCTTTTAAAACATATTTCATTTCTATTCCTTAAATCAACCAAACACTGTAATATAATTCCTAAAATCTATTCCTTTCGCGAACCAAACAATAGAATACAATTTCTATTCTATTCCTTGCCTATTACATTCCTTATGGAATAGCATTCCTATTACTTCAAAATTCATTTCGTGAACCAAACGTGCTGTAAAAGAAATGACACCATTTTGGACTATGGTCCACACAGCTGTGTGGACCATGATTCACAATAAAATTTGCTCACTCCAACTATCAGGGCTCGATTATGAGTTTTTTTTTTTCACAAGGAGCCCACCGCATGATGCGCTCCTAATCTTATGTGAGTGTGTTGATTAGTGAATTATGAAATTAGAGTCTATGGGGTTGAATAATGAAAACGTTACATGTACTCTTAACTTGTACTCTCACACACTAAATTTTGATGTAATCATTTGTATTGAGACTCATATGAAAAAATAACTTATCAGAATTCATCACATTATGAAGTAAAATTTAGAGAATAAGATTAGAGAGTACATGGAGTCAGTGACGGAGGGAGATGGTTACTACAGGGGGCCTTGGCCCCCCCCAAAAAAAAAAATTATTAATATTAATAGGGCATAAGATTTAGAGAAACTTTGGTAATTAGGGACTTTGGGCCCTTGGCCCCTCAGGCCCCATCCCCCACCCCAAAAGGTTATTAATAGTATATTATATTTTTAGTCCCCTTACCAAAGTCGCAAATTATAATGTGGAACCGTGTCCACCTTGTGTAAGGTGGACACAGTTCCAAAAATGTTCATAATTAAGAATACATAGTTTAAAAAATATGAATATAGAGTTCTATAATTATGAACATAGAGTTATGAATATAGAGTTCTATAATTATGAACATAGAGTTCTATAATTGTGAATATAGAATTCAATAATTGTGAATATGAAGTTTAAAAATTATGAACATAGAGTTTTATAATTATGAACATAGAGTTCTGTAATTGTGAATATAGAGTTCAATAATATAATTGTGAATATGAAGTTCAAAAATTATGAACATAGAATTCAGTAATTATGGACATAGAATCGTGTCCAACTTGCAAGGTGGACATGGTTCTACGGCATAACAATCCTACCAAAGTATCTGCACGCTCTAAACAAAAATTTCAAGACTAAGATTTCAAAATCTTATTTGATTTGCAACTGGCCATTAATATTTATTTAATTCGTCTTGATTTTTGTCTTTATCTCTCAAATTTTGAAATATTCAGTTAGTTAGTAAAATGAATATCAGTTAATTATGAAAAATTTTTGTGACAAAACTTTTTATTTGATATTAAGTGACAATCTATATTTAAATAAATGTTGTTGTTATTGTTATTATTATATTGTGTTATGTGAAAATTTTCTAAAGTAATAATCAAGGTTGCAAAAATCGCTATGCGCCCTCTAGGCGTCTGGGGACCGCCTAGGGCGCCTAGGTGGCCGACCACCTAGCGCCTAGGCGCGATTTTTGCAACATTGGTAATAATCAACACTCGTACTCATATAATTATGTATTTCATACTTTATTACACACAGTATAATTAGAAATTATTACCAATAATAACACAATAATGTATGATATATATAATAATATGGTACAATTAATTATAATGTCGACTAACATTGTAAATTTACTCTACTACATCGGCCCCCCCAACTCAAGATTTCTGGCTCCGTCCCTGCATGGAGTAGAACTCGTTGAATAATCGGTCAACCAAAACATATCAAATTATATTAGATTTTTTTTTTTATTTTTATTTTTTGTCGAAAATATGTGTAGTTGTTTAAAGATTATTGCTCCACACATTTGTCTTTTGATTTGATGTTTTGTACTTAGCTACCAAGCTACGTACTCTTGTTTTATTAATTGACATTGAAAAGTTTGTCTGGTATAGTGGTATTAAAATTGTACTCCCACAAAAAAAAAAAATAATAATAATAATAATAACAATAATAATATAAAAAAAATTGTCTATAAGATGGGTATTGACCTATTGGGTAATAATTTGTGGAGTGAGAGTGTAAGAGTGTAAGACTGATGAAAAGTATGTTAAATTGTTACATATATTCATACAATTAAATAGTGTGTTTGGTTTGTACATTGGAATCAGAATAAAAATGAGAATCAAATAGTTGGTAATGATAATGAGTTTGGTGAAAGTGTTTTGCATATTTGGTAGTAGAGTGGAATTAGAATGATTACCAATATTGATGTTTGGTTATGTATATTAAGAATAAAGATTTTAAAAATACAATAACAAAAAATCAAGACAATTTATTCTAATATAAAGATATTCAAAGGACCAATATGAACAAAAAAAAAAAATGTAAAAGCATTAATCCAAATTTAAAAATCAAATTACAAATTAGGAAGGAGAATATTGTAACGAAACCCTTACAGGGCGTTTGGTTGGAGTGGGGGAATTATGTGGGAAAGAAATTGTAATTCCATGGGAGTTGAATTATTGGGAATAAAGTGGGAATTTAAATTCCAGTGTTTGGTTGACAGGAATAAAATTACTGGGAATTTCAATTCCAATGTTTGGTATACATGGGAATTGAAAGGGAATAAATAGTATAAAGTCAAAAATGTCCATTATTATTGTTAGACATTAATTTTAGGTTAAAAAGGGAATGGATAATTTTAACTCATCACTATCTTTTTGTCCCAGGAATTAAAATCCTAGGGGGGACATGGGATTTTAATTCCATGAAAATGGGGGAATTGCAATTCCATGGAATTGCAATTCCCTCCAACCAAACTACGGAATTTAATGGCCTTTGGAATTAGGTGGGAATTAAGTGGGAAGGGAATTTAAAATCCCTCCAACCAAACGCCCTGTTATTTTATTAGGGAATACGTTTTCTAATTAAAGGGGTAATCAAATCGTATAGTAGTGCTCTATAAATCTGTCAACCAAACAATAACAATGACTTTGATTCTCATTTCTGATAGCTAAACTCATGAATCAAACACACCCAAAATGTTTTTATTAAAAAACAACATCTATAAGCCATAGCTGAAAAAAAATTCGTTGTAAAATTTCAATTGTTATACCATGGACCAGAGTTCATATTGCATTGTCAATCCTGATCCAAAAATTATGTGTCTACAATTAACATATTTTGTACCTGCATTATATATTTTTTGTAAACAAATTGAAGACACATAATATGATTATTACATACACAAATTATCAATTGCAAGTACAAAATATGTTAACTATAGACACATAAAATGTTGGTTAACATGTTATGTGTCTGCAGTTAACATATTATGTACTTGCAGTTAACAGTTTATATGTCTGTAATTATCATGTTAATTGCAGGTACATAATATGTCAAACACATAATCTGAAAGTTATTTCTAAATTAGGATCTATAATGCAAGGTAGAAACTAGTCCATGGTATAATTTGCAGTAAAATTTGTGCCCGTGACCTTTTGAGACCTTTGTCTAGACCACGATGCCACTAATTCACAACTCTATATTTGTTTCATGAAAATTTCAAATATTCTCCCTTTTTTCTGTGAATTTTTTCCTAATTTAGTAATTCAAAAACAAATTAAAAAAAAAAAAAAAAAAAAAGATACTGATAACATAACACGAAATTGTGAAACAGAAGGGTGATAGGACTTGATGATAAATTACATACAAGAGCAAAGAAGCTACATACACTGATTTCTAAAGTTAAGTCACAGGCTCGATCAGACTCAGGCTCCCTATATATATACTTTGCATTTGAGATCATGCTTCATTTTCACTGTGAAACAATGGTCAGAACCTGCGAGAAAACTCATTATTTTCTTCACGTTCTTTCATTGTCAATCAAATTTTGAACTTTTTTTTTTTTTTACCTTGTCCTGTTGCTGTACAATGCTATGTGTTTAATTATTTGTCTGTGTATCACATTCTGAATAGTGTGCATTTGAGTGGTTACTAGTTGTTGAAATTCAATTCGTCGTGCCCAATTCTGATTCAAATTGTATCCACCGTTGAACACGTACAGTGATTAATCTCATCGCTGTATTGTAGACACCCCTTTTGAATGGGATAGCTGGCCTGGAGATTTAATGTCCCTTCATATTCAAAGTCAAGGATCGAATCAGACCTTTGATTAAGGATGGATGGCTTCCTCCTACTCAACCATACCCCCAGGTTAAATGTATTGATTTGGACGCATATATAAAAGGGGTGTGTTTTTTGGTTAAAAAAAATAAAATCGAGACAACTAACACGCATCATTACGTTTTTCATTATGTTTGAAATAATCATTACAATACAGGTGGCTTATGCCACTAACTCACTCAATTACATAATGAAACACAAATATTCTTAATTAAATATACTAAATAATCACATCAAACTCCTAAATATTATGGATTAGCACACTATATATAACTAATAAAACCATACAAGAAATTGCTCCATGCCCTATCTATCTCTCCAATTCAATATCTTTATCCTTTTCACCATTATCTTGTTTGTCCTCAAATAGTGACCCTATTTCCTCTAGGCTCATGCCTTTGGTCTCTGGCAATAGCAAGTAAAAGAATAGTGTAGCCACCACCATAACCCCAGAAAGCACAAAAAACATTCCTCCAAACGTTATTTTTTGGGAAATACTAAGAAATGTGGCTGAGACAACTCCACTCACCAACCTATTCACTGAAACTGCTAGGGCCGAGCCTTGGGCCCTGAGTCTGAGTGGGAAAATCTCAGCTGAGTAGACCCATGTGACCGGCCCGAGCCCGATTGAGAAGAACGAGACGTCGGCGCAAACCGCGAGAACACACAATGCGATGGCCCAAATGGGCTTGTGATGGGCGTGGAGGAGATATGTTGAGCCCAGCCCGAGCCCAGCAAGGGATAGGGCCTGGCCCACTGTGCCCAATAGTAACATGGGCCGTCTCCCGAAATTGTCGAGGAAAAGTGCTGAGACCAAAACAAAGGTGGTTTTAGCCATGCCCATGATGATTGTTACTCCGATTTGGCCTTTCCGGTTAGTTATTCCGGCGGATTTGAACACCAACGGCGTGTAGTAAACCACCGCGTCGTTCCCGGAGGCTTGCATGAAGAAGTTTATTCCGATGGCCGTAACCAACATGCGGCGGATCGGCGCCGTCGGGCAGAGCAGCTCTCTCCATGCACCTTGTCCGCGCCACTCGCCGGAGGTTCGAAATGCGGCGGCTTTTGTTATCTCTTCTAGCCGTAAATCAGCTTCTTCTTCGCTTTCCGACGTCCTACGTAAAACCATCTTGGCTTCACTGAGCCTCCCTTTCATGACGAGCCAGCGGGGCGACTCCGGCATCTTGATCACGCCGGCGGCAATGCCGATGGCCGGGACGCCGGAGAGGCCCAGCATGAGCCGCCAACTAATGTTCGCCGGCAGCCCGGATAACAAAATGTTGGAAACGAAACCGATCAATATCCCGACGTTGATGAACACTTCCGGCAGCGAAGACAGAAAGCCGCGGGTCATCGCCGGCGACAGCTCGCTAGTGTACACCGGAGCAATCATGAGGGAATACCCCACTCCGATCCCGGCGACCACTCTTCCGGCCAGTAGATAGCCGTATGTTGGCGCAAGCCCCATCAGGAGTGCACCTATTATGAAAGTCGCCGCCGCCAAAACTATGGTGTATCGCCGGCCAATCATATCTGAAGTTTTCCCGGACGCCAGTGACCCAAACAACGACGACACGTTCAACAAACTCACCAACAATTCATGCTGTACCGATGAAATCTTGAACGTTTCTTTAATGAACAGAACTGCACCACTCATCACCCCAAGATCTACAAAAACTCATCCAAACAATTTGTCAAAAAACTATGAATATTAAACCATCTAAATTGTTCATAGCCCATTAGTTCAAACCAAGAACACATCCAAACACTTTTTAAAGAAATTATTGAATCTGACCAGTTGTTCATAGCTAATCAGCTCAAATCAAGAGGGTCAAACAGGTCGACCTCGATCATGAAAGGCATTTATCATTATGAAATAAGGTGAAAGAACTTACCATAACCCAAAAGAATAGAATTGGTGGAAGCGAAAACGGCGCAAAGAAAAGCGAACTTGTTGAGACGACGCTTTGGGGGATGAGGGGAACCGTGGGCGCCGCCGGGTCGAGATTCAACCATTGTGATTTCCATGGGTTCTGTTCTCCCCTTTGCAGAATCAATTCCAGAATCCATATTCTAGCTATCTAAATCCTGGTTTGGATCAACTAATCCTGTGGGCAAATAAGAAAGACGAGTATAGATGCATTAATTGATTAACTACCTACTAATACCAGTACTGTACTGACTAGTAGCAGTAATGGGCTAATGACCTGCAATATGAAGGACTGAAAAAGGTAACATTATAACCAATTTTGTTGGGATATGTGATCATACATTTTTGTCCCTTATAAGGTTGGGAATTCAAACCTCTCTCATATAGAAAAATCAATCTGGCCAACACTTTATCTTTTAATTGGACCGATCAGGTGTAAACCGGATTAGTCTAAGTATATGGTACAGATTTAAAGGTGTTTAGGGTATGCCGAATACACTCGATGATCTGATCTGACCAAAAAAAGGTAACAGTATTATAGGATAAAGACACTAATAACTTCCTCCTTATTTCACTCGCACACATAACAAGTGATGTACCAAACTCCCATTTAAGGTTGTTTAATTTAGTACATAATTAAACATCAACCCCTTTCACAAGGAATTTGCATATAACACATCAAACAATCATGTATGTCTCTATAGTTGAGCTTTAAAAAATGAGAAAATGAAAGGTGAACTTCATTTCTTCACACAAATCTCCACTGATTATCTTGGATTTAACCCATCCCCTACAACTCTTTATAAGGATTTGCAGAGTGATCCATCACTTTCCTGCATAGTGCATATCACTTTCTCAAGTAGTGCATAGTGATTCATCACTTTTCTAAAGCAGCATGCAGATGATATCTGATATGATGCATGCTAATTATTGCAATCCCCTCCCCCCCCCCCACACCCCACACAACTATCTTAATTGCTGCAACAGTTTATTCCTTGATTTCTGCAAACATAAATGAGTAACAGTGTTGCTGTGTGTACAAGAATTCAAATTTCAAGTCGCAGCGAGAGTTTCATATAATAAATATTTTGATCATTTTTCCTGATAAATTTAATACGTAACTCTTAACCGTTGGTTTTAATGAAATCTGCCAAATCTCCTAAGTCATAATCATCTGGTCAACAGTGGCGTTATTACGTTACCATGAGAACATGACCATCTAGAACTAGAAATTAAAGCAATGGTATGATACCTTCCCGTTTAACTATTTTTTAATTTAAATCTAAATATATTTAGAATTATTATTTGAACTCATCCCTATATACAAATATTATTGGGTATTGAATTTTCACTATTATTCGGAAACGTCTCAAATCTAATTATCAACAATTCAAATTCATTCTATTAGGATGTAATAATACGTGTTGATGAGTACCCATTGGTCCCACGGTAATATCCCTACATAGTTACAATATATCTTCTTTATGTTTTCTTCAACTTTTAATTGTTGTATGAATATGAATTATATTATATTGTCTTATCATCATTATTATTGGTAGTTCCGAAGTTGCTTTCATTATGAAAATCTTTAAATAATAATAACAATAATAAGTTAGATTTTCATTTTGGGCTATATAAGATAATATTAATAAATAATTATGTAACATATGTGTAACAAACAACAATAGTGAGGAACATAGAAGAAAATATAATGAGAAATACTCAAATACTATGTACTATCTTTCAAGGTTTGTCTCTATCATGAACTATAATAAAATTACATATATTTTTTTACAACAAAAATGAAATGTTTAAGTGTTTAAGTTGTTAATATAACAAAAAGTGATATATTTCAAAATTTTATATTATATGGCATAATTTTACGTAATTAATTCATGATAAAATATCATAAGCAATGTTCTTATTACCTCGAGCATATATAAAGGAGAAACGCAATAAATGGTGACAGGAACAAACTGCAAAATGCCACTATTCTGCTAAAGCTCAGGTAAATGCACTCTGCTCCTGTAACTGTATACCAAATTTGAATAATAATAATAAAAACAATAAAGGGGGAGGAAAAAGTCAAAAGAAATGAAGTGCGTCGCCTGAGAGATTCGAACGCTCGCGGGGAAACCCCATGTACTTAGCAGGCACACGCCTTAACCACTCGGCCAAAGCGACTTTGTTGCTCCAAGTCTCTGATCTATATTAATAACCTCAGGCTACTCAGCAATGGAGGTGCGAATGTGGGAGAGAAAGGAGCAGGCTTATTTATTTATGAGTTAATACCCAAAATAGTCCCTCGACTATGTCGTAATTACCAATTTAGTCCTCGACTATCATTCTTACCCAATTAAGTCCTCAACTATACAATTTTTACCAAATTTAGTCCTTTGTCAATTTGACTGTTTGTTGACTGTCAAAAGTGGAAATAAAGTTGTAATTTTACAAGTTTTCTCCTTCCTCCTCATTTAGCAGCGCCAAACCATGTAACAATAAGCTCTGGTTGGGTTCTAAACCTGTCAGTATCGAAGTAGTGGTTATGCATCGGATAGCCCATGAATTTGATTTCCAATGATTTTTTGACGATCGAAATCTGATCGGAGTGTATTGTTGCATGGTTTGGCGCTGCTAAATGGAGAGGAAGGAGAAATCTTGTAAAATTATAATTTTATCCCGACTTTTGACAGTCAACAAACAGTCAAATTAATACAGAAGACTAAATTGGGTAAGAATTGTATAGTTGAGGACTAAATTGGGTAAGAATTGTATAGTTGAGGACTTAATTGAGTAAAAGTTACATAGTTGAGGACTTAATTGGGTAAGAATGGTAGTTGAGGACCAAATTGGTAATTATGGCATAGTCGAGGGACCATTTTGGGTATTAACTCTTTATTTATTTATTAAATATGGGAAAAAGGAAAAGAGAGAAGAAGACATACCAGATTAACTGCAGCTGATTCTTTTCCAATTTCCATCAACTTACATTCTTACACTGTTTCCATCTCTGTAATGTATAGTACTATGAATGAAGGTACTAATTGCAATTACTGTTTCTCTTTTCTTTTCTGCTTTTTTTGGGGAGGATTTAAGGATTTAAGGCTTTAAACGACATTGGCGTGGAACAAGGAAGGAAGCAAGGCAAGAACTGGTTGGTATGATAGATGTTTATGGGGGCTACTATTACTATTATTGTTTGCTGCTAATAATCGCGTACGTACCTCCTTTTTTTTGTCGGATCTATACCTTTTCCGACACTCCAAAACATGTCAAATGTAAAGCAAAGTAAAATCACTACTAACAAATATCACTCGTAACCAACATGATTGGAGTGGTGGTTCAGCACCTCGTCCCTAGCTAGTCCCCTATCACTTAGTGTGCTGATAGTATGGATGCATTCAAACCATTTGGCCGTCCTCTATCACTTAGTGTGCTGACAGTAGAGGCGGGAGATTAGTTTTCTGACTATCGGCGGGAGGAATACCCGATCAACTATATATGTGTATATGATGAGGGAAAGTCTAAGATACCCATGTTGTCTCATCAAATGCAGCTTTTCCTCTTCACGGGATTCCTAAGGTAAAAAAAAAAAAAAAGGGTATTTAGAACTTGTACAAGAGGCCAAGAGGGCACAATGGACAAAAGATGCATTTCAGCCATTACAAGATTACAATTCAAGTACCAACTGGAATTTTCCAATAACTGGAGAGGTTGGAATTCATGAATTACATATAGAGACAGAATATTGTCATTAAAGAATATAGAATACATTCCACCATTCTACTCTCCTATAAATCTATAAACATCCCTCACAAAGAATTTTCTCCTATCACATAAAGAATGTATAGACTCTAAAAGGGCATAAGTAAATTTAAAGAACAAACAATCATAATGACCACAAAGGTTTTAAAAAAAAAAAAGGCACAAGTGAGATCCAAGATCAAGATTCTGCCAATCCGTTGCCAAATCGCCATAAGCCATGATAGCCATGATTCTTCAGAAATTGATACCACAGACAACAGATGTTATTCATTACTTGTAATTAGAGAGAACTTTATTCTACTACTTGCTTCCGATATTTGCTCAGCCTAGCAACCGCTTATTGAGATAACAATCGGAGGCCAGCTTCTAAATCCTCCAGTGTAATAGTCAGTAACTCCTCGGCGTCTACACAGTCAAAGCTGAGTCTGAAATCTAAATTTTCTCTTGCATTAACTAACATTGGATCCAGTAAGCCTCCATTCATCTCCTTGCGCTGCTTTTCTGTGGTTTCCCTCTTTATAAGAGCTGCAACAGTTTCAACACTACACGAAGGATGCAACTTGAATCCAAACAGCAAACTACCTTCAGCTTGATAAGTCATTTTAAGATGAAGAATCTTGGCAAGATCTTCGATACTAAAGTCGTTAAAGTGAAAGTACTTGGTCACCCTCCTACAAAAGCCTTCATTCGAAGATATTACTCGCTTCATAGGTTCACTATAGCCTGCAAAAATCACTACAATTTTCCCACCATCCATGACAGACATTATCTCCTCTAATGCTTCTAAACCATAGTCCTTATCATCAGCCTTCTGCATGGGTATTAGTCGATAGGCCTCATCAACAAATAGAATCCCCCCCTCAGCTTCTTGGATCTACAGATACACCCATTGACTTGGTCAAAAAAAGCCTCTAGAATATGTAATGTTAAACAGATAAAATTTCAGAATCACAAAATTTACCTTTCTCCTTGTCTTTGGTCCTGTATGACCAACAAATTCCCCAACAAGATCTGTCCTCTGTACTTCAGTTACCTTGTCAGTCGGAAGAATGCCCACCATATGAAGTAGTTTTCCAAGTACTCGAGCTATCATTGTTTTTCCTGGAGAGTAGTTGAGGAAAACTAAGGAATCCAATTGGAACCTCTAAACTCATACAAAATTTAGAAATTATACAAAACATAAAACTTGGAAAATATATCATTCAAACAGAAGCATACTTTAAGTATTAGGGAATTCACAGTTGAACAAATGATTTAGAATATAAATGGCATCAATACCAGTTCCAGGGTTTCCAAGGAAAGCCATGTGAGGTGGTCTTCTCACACCAACTTTCAGTCCCAGGGCCCGACGCCTCTCGTCCAGTAGCATCCCCTTGGCCCATTTTCGGAGTTGCACTTTTAGCTCATGTAAGCCCACTATCTTTGATAGTTCATTTTCAAGTTCATCCATTTTCGCCTTGGTCTCACCGCATGCTTCAAGGGCTTTACGTCTTCGCTGCTCCTCAAGATGTCGATGAAGAAGTTCTCGCAATTTTTCATTTCCAGGGCCTTGAGAGAGATGATTTAAGGGAGTCATTCCCTCCTGCAATTCATATGTTTCACAATCAATATTGATTAGAAAAGGACCAGCAAATTATTAATACTTGAATGAATTACAGCATTTTATACATTGTCTTTGACACTACAATCAGCATTATGCTCCAACAATGTCTTCACTGTTGAATAGTCTTCAACTCGGATTGAGTGCCAAACAGCAAGGTGCAAT